TTAAGAAAAATAAAATGATTCAAGATTCAAGTAATATTGTACTATTTTGTGCAATTAATGACTGATTTTCCAGTATTTACCTGCATATTTCTACTACGTGACCAACACAGTAAGGGGCCTAAGGGCTTTTCAGGAAGCATATATTAACCTAGTTTTGGTAATTTATGTGGATTGTAAGTTCCGTTTGCAATATGTTAATTACCTTCTTTGTTCACATCACAATATTTTACTTTTAAATATATATTCAAAATTTTCATGAAAATAAGCATGAATGTGGAGGCATGCTGCTTTAAACAAAATCTATAAATCAAAAACCATATTAGATTGTAAGTTTTTTTTCTGTGTTTGGACTCACTTAAATTCAACATTTTCAGTAAGTTTGTGTTCACATTTTGAAAGCAATATTTGAAATATTTCTGTATTGTCATCAAATCCCAAGGTTTCCATTTATTGTAATTTTTCTTTAAAGAATTTAGTTTCAAAAATAAGTTTAGAAATTCAGAACTGTATGCAATATATTTTGTGAAATCTTTTTTCTTTTGAGTTATTGTGAATGACCAAGCCTGTTATGATAGAAACCTTCATTTCATGTTCTTTTTATAATAGACAATGCCGAAAATTACTTGAAATTTTACTAGATTTTACTTTACTTAACTGTATAATTTTATGTTAAATGTGTTGTTCATTTTGATACTGTTAAGGTGGAAGTAACATCTGTAGAAATTGTGCCAGTGTATTTCTGCAATTATATAATGTAGTAAAACTTCACAAATCATGTTTGTTTCTTTGTGTATTGACCCTAGATTGAATGATCTGCTTTGCTTTAAGTTCAATGCAAAAACATAGATTTTTTTCTTCAAAAATGATCCTGAAAAAACAACAAGAACAGCAGCAAAAACAAATAAAGTCTAATTGAAAATCGAAGACACGGTTTTATTAGCTCCACTTTTCGATGCCGGCGAAATCGGCGTTTGTTATCCCCCGAGGGGGATTTAGTTTTGGCGTTGTCCGTCCTTCCGTCCATCCGTCCGTCCAAATTTCGTTTCCGGAGTAGTTCTCTGCAACTACTGGCTGGAATTCAACGAAACTTTATGGGAATCATCAATATCAAGAGGAGATGCGCATATCGTCGGCTTGTTCCGGTCAGACCTTTTAACTCAGAGTTATGGCCCTTGATTAGTTATGCAGAATGCATATAGAGTAAAAATCGTTTCCGCACTAACTTCTCTGCAACTAGTGGCTGGAATTCAACGAAACTTTATGGGAACCTTCAATACCAAGAGGAGATGCGCATATCGTCGGCTTGTTCCGGTCAGACACTTTAACTCAGAGTTATGGCCCTTGATTAGTTATGCAATATGCATATGGAGTAAAAATCTTTTCCGGAGTAGTTCTCTGCAACTACTGGCTGGAATTCAACAAAACTTTATGGGAACCTTCAATACCAAGAGGAGATGCGCATATCGTTGGCTTTTTCTGGTCAGACTCTTTAACCCAGAGTAATGGCCCTTGATTAGTTATGCAGTATGCATATAGAGAAAAAATTGTTTCCGCGCTACTTCTCTGCAACTACTGGCTGGAATTCAATGAAACTTTATGGGAACCTTCAATACCAAGAGGAGATGCGCATATCGTCGCCTTGTTCCGGTCAGACACTTTAACTCAGAGTTATGGCCCTTGATTAGTTATGCAGTATGCATATAGAGAAAAAATCGTTACCGCGCTACTTCTCTGCAACTACTGGCTGGAATTCAATGAAACTTTATGGGAACCTTCAATACCAAGAGAAGATGCGCATATCATTGCCTTGTTGGGGTCAGACACTTTAACTCAGAGTTATGGCCCTTGATTAGTTATGCAGTATCCATATAGAAAAATATTCGTTTCCTCATTACTTCTCTGCAACTACTGGCTGGAATTCAATGAAACTTTATTTGAACCTTCAATACGAAGAGGACATGCGCATATTGTCGCCTTGTTCGGGTCAGACATTTTAACTTAGAGTTATGACCCTTGATAACTTAGGCAGTATACAACCAGAGCAATAATCGTTTCCGTGCTACTTCTCTGTAACTACTGGCTGGAATTCAATGAAACTTTATGGGATACTAAGAGGAGATGTGCATATAGTCGCCTTGTTCCGGTCAGATACTTATAACTCAGATTTATGGCCCTTGATTAGTTATGTAGTATGCATACATCTCATTGGCATTTCCAGATATTACTATTTAACACAAAGTTATGGCTCTGTTATTTCCCTGAATATTTATCAGGTTCAAAGAATATTACTGTTTATGCCATGATTAATATATAAATAAAGCCTTATGTCTTCAGTTGTTGTGTTAATAATAACCAGTACTCGGCGGGGGATATAAATTCAACGAATTTGCTTGTTAACCTTTTCTTTATGGTCCTTTTTTTGAGAAAATGTAAAAGATTCTCATTTCAAACTTAATATGCATGTTTGTGGTCATAATTCATGACACCATTTCAAAAGAAGAGATAATCCAACAATTATTTTGGCAAAGTTCTTGGCTCTTTTTAGCTCACCAGAACCGAAGGTTCAGGGTGAGCTATTAGTATCAAAGGAGGATGTTTCGGCGTCCGTCGTGATGCGTCAACAATCGTCTTCTTCTCTGAAACTGCTTGGCAGCTTTACTTCAAATTTGGTCTGTAGCATCCTTGTGACAGTCACACTTGAACTTGATCATGTCATTTCAATTGGGCCCTTTTAGGGGTCAACAGAGTTAAAAATAGAAAAACCTTTAAACAACTTCTTCTACAGAACTAATTTATAGATGATCACCAAACTTTGTCTGTAGCATTCTTGGGTAGTCTTTTATCAAGTTTGCCCATTATTAAAATGATTGACCCCTTTTAGGGGCCGCTTAAGATAAAAATAGAAACACCTTTAAACATCTATTTCTACAGAACTTATTGAAGGATGATCACCTAACTTTGTCTGTAGCATTCTTGGGTAGTCTTTTATCAAGTTTGCTCATATTAATTTGATTGGCCCCTTTTAGTGGTCTCTAGAGTTAAAAATAGAAAAAAACCTTTAGACATCTTCTACAGAACTAATTGATGGAAGATCACCACACTTTGTCTGTAGCATTCTTAGGTAGTCTTTTATCAAGTTTGCTCATATTAATTTGATTCGCCCCTTTAAGGGGCCGATAAAGCTAAAAATAGAAATATCTTTAAACGTCTATTTCTACAGAACTAATAGACGGATGATCACCAAACATTGTCGTAGCATTCTTGGGTAGTCTTTTATCAAGTTTGCTCATATTAATTTGATTGGCCCCGTTTAAGCTAAAGTTTAAATACCCCAGGTCATGGCATTTCTTCAAATTATTGTTTAAAAATATTCTATGCTCAAATTTAATATTAGAAAATATTGACAATGGATAATTTCCAACACTGAAAATCAGTTGTTTCTGGTGAGCGACTCAGGGCCATCATAGCACTCTTGTTCTATATTGCTTTTATTTAACTATCAAGAAAGATGGAGCGCGTTGTCCGCGGACAGTTCTTGTTAAGTCTGTTCATAAAGATAATGGAAACTGTAGTATCTTTTGTTCCCGAGCACCAGTTCGAAATGTGACAAATGTTCATTGCATGAACATTTACCAAGTGTGTTCAAATGGTTCTTGTCCGTATTTAGGTCACAGAAGCTAAAAGACAGATTTAAAAATCGTCTTCTCCAAAAGCGCAATTTCTATGCATGATGACATTATAGCCCTGTAGACATAATTGGACCCGCCTGTGGGGAGGGGTCATGTATTTTCATTCAATGTATGAAATTATATTAAATAGTGTAAAAATAACTTCTTTTAAACCACAAATGCCAGAGCTCAAAAGTATGCCTAATGGGTCTCTAACAAGGTTGTTCAAATTATGACATTGGACTCAAAATTGTTCCCGCCAAAGATGTGATTGGTTTTCATTATTTCAGAAATAATACACAGCACTGCGGGCCTTTTTTTTTTAGATCATTGCGCTTATTAGGTCAGTCTGCAAACATTCCAACAGATCGGATTCCAGTGCATTTATTGACTTTCCGTAGCAGTCAGTAATTGATATAGCAACAATTGACTTTCGTTAACAACCAGTGTCTTGCATAACAATCATTGACTTCCTTTTCCATCCAGTGATTTGCATGACAACCATTGATCTTCCATAACAACCATTGACTTTAGATATCAATCAGTGTTTTTCTAAAGCATCTTTTGATTTTCAATAACAACCATTGACTTTCCAAAGTAACCATTGACTTCTCATGGCAACCAGTAACTTTCAATAGCAACCAGTGACTTCCTTAGCAACAAGTTCGTTGTAATAAACTCGGCGCTCTCGCTGATGTAAAATATAGACTCAACGGATGTTAAATTCTTTTTCGATTTCTCACAATTCAGTCTTTTATAAAACTCTCATGAATAATGATTTTTACCGGCATTTAATATGCGAACTTTTCTATAGTTTTTCAGAGTTGAGGATTTATATTTTTTAATCTAAAATCCTATACAAAGATGTCTTATCATCTTAAAGGCTATTTTATTTTTTCACATCTTTAAACATGACTGTTTGTCTTCGAACAACACATTTCGTTGACTGTGTCGGCCGTTGTAGAAACGTTCGCGTGTCATTAATTGCCATTGACTTGTTCCTTTGCATGGAATGTAATAATGGAGTCCTGTTTTTGCAAATCGATAGCGAAAATGCTAAATTAAATTTTTGTGCACCATGATAATTCATTAAAATGTCGAATAGCTTTTTTTTCTAACGCCACTGTTATCGGGCTAATTTCGATTAAATTTGAGATGAAAAGGAGAACTAGAAAAAGGGAAACATTCTTCCTTTGCAAGGTTTAAAAATAATAGCAAATAGGATTATCATTTATTCATACTTTATAAAAACGAAACAAGTTTGCACCAGTGATGATCGGTAGAAATCTTTACTTGATTCAATTTTATCTATTGCCTCGTTTGCATCTCACAATTCCAAAGAAAGTACTTAAGTTGCCCGTGCTAGCATGGTTTTCAATTTCCGAGTGAAAAAAATCCATATCCAACCTATATTGTACTACAATATGTATCAAGAAAAAACTAAGTGGGTAGAAGTGCAGTGCAAAGAACAGTAATTCTGCCTTGCCTAAAATAGATAAATACAGAATCCATAAAGAAAGCCTTAGTTTGGAGTTATTGCACTTTGAACTTTGCCCTGAGCAAAACATTGAACCCGGTTCCACTTGACATGAAACAAAACGTTGTTATATTACCCGCTTTGTAATGAATCACTCAGGCTTATCGGCAATCGTGAATATATTCCTTAGCATTTTAACTCGAACCGTGCATTTATCTACAACAATGTACTCAGAATTGATATCCATTTTCTAAACAAACGCTTAATGTGATAATTTCCGATATGATAGAAATGACTAGGACTTTTAATAATGAATATGTAAAAGTTTGAGTCTTGATTTTGGGCATGCGATATAAGAAAAACACATTGATTGAAATTAGGTCTTATCAAAGTACGATTCAATTGTTTATTTTATTTTATATTTTAGGTGTATTTTAGTAAACAAGAACTTTACTTATGTCAAATTCTCCATATATGTGACATAATGTTGTCCTATTGTTGACCTGTGCAATAAAATTGCCAGCTGCTTGCATCATTGTCTTAAACCTACCGTATTCAATGCAAAATAATATCAAGTCTGTAATGTACTGGTATTTTGAAAACTGAATATTCGTATACTATCTTTCTGATCATATTATGTTTTCATCGGTTTAAGATTATCCTCCAGGAGATCAAGCCGAAGGTTTGCCAGTTTTAGCTCGTCTTCTGCTTCACACATTGCCTTCAAACATTCTCCAAGCGCTGCATATAAGTTGCGTGCTGAAAGAAAGAAGCCAAGAATCGGAACAACGTATTTATTTGCTAAGGCCGATTCTATCTTCTGTGTAGCAAGAACATGGAAGTCATCATTCTGATAGGTTTTTAGAATGATCCTTAAAACAGAAGGTTGCTTTTTTAATTCAATTGCCATCACGTCAAGTGACATCTCATCAACACAAAATCTTCGAAGACAAAATCTACGCATGAATGACACAGACCAATTGCCAAGTCGTTTGTCAAGAACTGGTAATGGCAGAAATCCGTATGTAATTGAAAGTGCCCTAAGAATTTTTAATTCATTTTTGTAATATTCTCTATCTCTGCCTATAGCTTGTTGAACGGCTTTCTGAATTAAAGCACTGATAGCCTTTCCTTTGATGCTCAGCATGCTTGTTAGATCCTGATCTAATTCATGAAAGTCGTACTTTGTTCTTTCCGAGGAGCTAACCAAGTAGACGCCACTAACAATATCTGGTAATCCCCCATCATGTATATTCTCTAATACGTTATTTCTTATCTTTGTTAGGCATTTAGTTTCGTCGAATGTTTCAGGATGGTCTCGTTGTGCATTGTAAATGTCAAAGTCAATCTTAGTTCTAACAAACAGAATGTTCTTTTTTAGCTCCCGAAGCTTCTTTCCCAGCCACATATCACTTTCCATGAAGCGACTAGCGCAAACAATTATTACGACTTCAAATCTTGCAAAATCCATTTCTTTAAGGTATGTTTCTCTTTTGTATTTTTGTGTCCCGACTCCAGGCAGATCCCAAAATACTATATGTTTATTATCTGGATGTGAATACCGACTTGCTTTTGTTGTTGTTTCAACAACGTCAACAGCGGCTGCACCTTCGTCAGATGGTTTCAATTTCCGAAGCGCATTAATTAGACTTGACTTTCCAACACCAGCATTTCCAGTAATACCAACATTAAGTTCAATTTCATTCCACGTAGAAAGTGAATCGTGAATAAACTTATTCACACCATGCAAAGGACCAGCTTCTTTCATTTCTTTCTGTAAAACATCTGCATTAACAAACGTACGGAATTTCTGTAATAATCAAGAGTACATATATTTACAATTTCCAAAATATCCAATCTATTTTAACCACTTATTTTGCGTAAATCATGTTATAAATATATCTTTTAACTACTTATTTTGTTCGCCTGCAAACGTATATTTGCTTAATGAGAATAGATTGCAATTCAGATAGAAATTAATTGATTTGTAAATGGATGGATAATATCACAGCAGGCAAAAGGTCAAAATAAATTTATACAATTTTAATATCGGTAATGAAAAATACACTTTTAGCATTTACAGTGCATCCGCTACAGAGCCTTGTTGTGAGGTGTTGCCTCAAAGAGGTCAAACTATCTTTGTGTTACTTAGCAAACGAATGCTCTACAGTGGTAAAATTGTATTTTTATGATAATAAATTGATTAACGGAAGAAGAAAACGTGCAATATAATTTCAATTATTACCTAATGCCAACATTGTATAAGCATTGACAAACATTGTAAAACAATAAACGTACATCAAATTCAAGCTCATCCAATTTGTATATAGACTTTGCAGAATGCACATCACCCGCAACATCTCCAGCTTTCCTACCCTGCACTGACTCAGGCCCATCGTAAATATAGTCGCTGAAAGATATTCTTTCCTATTGTAAAATAATGATAATAATAATAATAATAAAAGTAATTAAAGATAAAAATGATAATAATAATAATAATAATGATAATATTTATACTACTATTACAAGTCTGCATTGCTACTACTGCTTCTACTAATGATAATGATATAGAGGATATTTGTTTAGTTCAGTGTAAGATCGGAATATATTTCAACGAATAAGCATCAAAAGGTATATTTCACGAGTGGCGCAGCCGCGATTGAAATATAAACTTTTGGTATTCACGAGGTGAACTATATATTTCGATCTTACACTCAACTTAACAAAGTTTCTTTTTATTATATGCAAAAAACAAAAAAAACAAAAACAAAAAACGTTTAACCTAATACTTAAGGAAAATCGCGCCCTGCCCTTTTGCTGTGTCACTTTGATTATTCTTCATCTTCTTGGTACCAAGGACTGAGTAAGTCACTGAAGCACAAACTTCAAGTAGCTCAAAATAAGGTTGTGCGCTTTATAAAAGACTACACTCCTAGGACTTCAGTGACAAATAAGGTTCTGTCCGATCTTAAATTATTAAATGTCAATGATAGAGTTAGACAGTTAAGACTCAACCACATTCATAAAGTTTTTTACAACAAAAGCCCTTCTTATTTAAAGGAATTGTTTAAGGTTTGTAGAATATCCAATTTAAGATCCAGTAATTTTAATTTTGTTTTACCTCAAAATGATTCTTATGTTAAAAATACATTTTTCTACAATGCCATTAAAGATTGGAATTCTTTACCAGACAACATTAGATCAATTGACAATATCCAAACATTTAAAACGAAAGTAAAACTTTTTTTAAGTAATGAAAATGATAAACAAGTGAATAATATGTTTATTTATTATTAAATTGATGTGTAACTTATGATAAGGTTTTGAAACATGTTTATGTGTACTCAATATGTTTTAGTTTAAACGAAATTTATTTCATTTTGTTTGTGTACAATGTACTTGTCTTATTATGTTTCAGAAAAAACATGAGCACTATTGATAATGTTTTTATATTACATGGTGTTATAACACATTTATTAAATAATAATAAAAAGTTGTATGCTGTTTTTGTAGATTTCACTAAAGCTTTTGACTATTTGGTAAGAGATGTTATTTGGTATAAATTAATTCAATTTGGAGTGAGAGGTAAAATGTTAGATATTATTAGGTCCATGTATGAGAATGTCAGATCAAGAGTAAAATACAATAATACTATTAGTGAAGAGTTTGTATGTTACTTGGGAGTAAGACAAGGCGAATCCCTTCCGCCGTTTTTATTTTCTATGTATTTAAATGATATAGAAGAATATTTTATGTTAAATGGTTTTGAAGGTATTGACTTAGGTATTTTAAAGATATTTTTATTATTGTATGCAGATGATATAGTGATTATGTCTGAAACAGAGGAGGGCTTACAAAAAGGATTAAGATTATTAGAAATATATTGTGATAGGTGGAAATTAAGTGTTAACTGTACAAAGACAAAGGTTTTGATTTTTAAAAAAGGGGGTAGACTTAGACAGAATTTGAATTTTTATTATAAAGGTCAGTCAATTGAAATAGTTAAAAAGTTTACATATCTAGGCATTGTTTTTTCTGTTGGTGGATCTTTTAATATGACTTTTGAAACACTCTCTGGACAAGCATTGAAGGCGTTATATAAACTTGAAAAAGAGCTGATAAGATTCCCTTGTATGTCAGTTAAACATAAACTGGATTTATTTGATAAACTTATTTTACCAATTCTTAACTATGGATCACAAATATGGGGTTTACTTGATAGTCATGTATTAGAAAACATTCATTTAAAGTATTGTAAGAAGTTGTTAGGAGTTAAAAGACAAACACAAAACAATTTTATCTATGGTGAACTTGGAAGGACATCTTTAAAAACAATGAGAGCTATTAATGTTATAAAATACTGGTTAAAAGTTGTTCAGTTAAGTAGTACAAAATATGTCAAAGTTGTATATGATGTTATGTGTAGAGATTTAGAACTTAAACCGAATTCAATGTCCTGGGCTAAGTCTGTTATGATTTTGTTACAATCTTTAGGTTTCAATGAAGTATGGATTAATCAGGGCGTTGGTGATATAAATATATTTTTAGCAGTAGTAAAACAAAGATTAACAGATACATTTATACAAAATTGGTATGCAACTTTAAGAGATTCATCAAGAGCAAGAAGTTATGTATTATTTTGTGATTTTGGTTTTAAGTCATATCTGTCAATGGTTAATATTGAAAAATTTAGGAAATCTTTATCACGTTTCAGGACATCATCGCATAGATTAAAAGTAGAAACTGGTAGATGGCATAAACCTGAAGCAATTCCTTATAATGAAAGAAAATGTAATATTTGCTTAAAACTAGAAGATGAATTTCATGTATTATTAGAATGTCCACAATACAATGTTTTGAGAAAACAGCTCATAGATAAATATTATTGGAAAAAACCAAATATACCAAAATTTATTGAATTGTTAACATCTCAAAATGAAAATGTTATAAGAAAATTATCAATGTTTATCTTTAAAATGTTTGAATTAAGAACAAATGATGAATATTCGTAAATTATAGTACCTAGGAAGGTAAATGTAATGTTACTTAATTGATATCATTATGTAAAACCTGTGCTTCATTTAAACCTTGCTGCAATATGTTATTCTGTTCATATTAAAGCAAACTTATGACTCAAATATACAGTAAATGCTAAATATATGTTATATATGTTTAATGACCTTGATATTATGTTTATGTATGTATATATGTTTGTATATATGCTGTGTGCTCATGGGTATAATACCCACATGTATTTGGAATAAAATCTAAATCTATTATATTGAAAAATGTGTCTTGATTATTGAAAATTGTCATTAATTTTAACTTCTTTATAACTCATTTATTATTATGTAAGTTAGTGTAATAATTTTACAGAAAATGGACCCCATTGGAAATAAGCTTTTAGCTTAATGGGCAATCCTAGGGTTACATAGAACATACTTATTAATTAATCTTATAATTATTTTTGTGCATTTATTTGTGTGTTTTTATATATATGCAAGTTGATTTCTGTGATAAAATTGTATGTGTAGAATTATGTCTATTCACTGAATAAATCGATACGAAATAATAATACAAAGTGACGTCATTTACGACGTCACGTCATTAGGTTGGTTTCCAGTACTATGCACGCTGGAATTTCACTGAAACTACGTAACGGGCTTAAATTCAAAACAGTGAAAAATATCAAATCAATAATTTCAGTGAAATATCACTTTTATAATTCACTGATATATTTCTACAAACCACTGAAAGCATGTAATAAAAAGTGATAATAATAATGGTCATTTAGACACTTTAGTTAAACAAATAAGAGAGAATTGTATGCAATACCCCCATTTAACCTTCATTTATTCGGCAATATTTTCTTCTCTTTTTTCTTTTATGATGGGTTATATCTTAAAACCAGTAAGTGTTTCATGATATACTGCGTCCTATGACACGGAGATTCAATGAACTAATAAAAGAGAATTGTATGCAGTAACCCATTTCAATAAACCTTTTTTGGGTAGCTTTTATTTGAAATATTTCAATTTAGCATATATACATAATAGAATATAATATATTATATTATATAGCTACATATGTATATTGAAATGCTACATTGAAAATAAAGGTATTTCAGATTGTAAAGTGTAACATGATATACTACATGATACGACACGGAGATTTAAGTTCTGTTAGAACATTAATTACATTAACAACTACTCGTATATTGGAGATTGGCCTCTCAAATTTCAGTGTCATAAACAACTACGCTCGGGCAGTTTGTAATTATACCTAGCACAATGGCAAATATACATGTTACCCTCGAAGTACAGATTTATTTATTCATATCTGAATACGATCACGAAGTTTATTAAGCATAAAACATAGTAAAATGTTAATGCTAAATTTGACAAGTAATTTTTGGCCATATAATAATTGTGTTGTTCATTGTTCTATGCTGATTATATTGAATATGTAGTGAATAAAGATATCTGTTTGTGTCTATCTGTCCTTACTTGGCATACTTACCAACGGACAAACTGGCGGACAAACATATATATTGCGAGAAAATGTTTAGATATAAGAAAATTAAATATGCATTCGATTCTAAATAACTGTCTTATTAATGATAATCACAAAGAGTGCGTTGAATTACCTTGTATCATATGTCAAACCCTAAAACGGCGCACGCAGGCATACATTTACGAAGATTAAAACATGAATTAACGAGCACGCGCCATTGCTGCTCTTGTTCACAACTCAGTGACCCTCCCTCTCACTAAATCCTCGTGATCCTACTCAGTGACCCTCCCTCTCACTAAATCCTCGTGATCCTACTCAGTGACCCTCCCTCTCACTTAATCCTCGTCATCCTACTCAGTGACCCTCCCTCTCACTAAATCCTCGTGATCCTACTCAGTGACTCTCCCTCTCATGCATGTGTTACTGCACGAAAGAAGGTGCATATACCCTCTATAATTACCCTTTTGAAGTACATATATACTTATGTCTAAATGATAACTTTCAACCACGCTCGAGCGATTTGTAATTATACCTAACACAATGGCAAATATACATGTTACCCTTGAAGTACAGATTTATTTATTTATATCTGAATACGAATACGAAGTTTATTCAGCATAAAACATAGTACAATGTTAATGCTAACTTACAAAGAAATTTTTGGACTCCATGTAAAGATTGTACTCTTCATTGTTCTAGCCGTTCCGAATGCAGTTAATTTTGATAAAAAGCAAATCATGAAAATGTTTGTTATGCCATGTTAATTGACGACTGTGTTTGACATTAAAGTTCCCCTCAAGAATCTTTCAATTAAGGGTTTGGAACGTTGTTGGTTCTACTTAGGTGCCCGCTCGAGCTTGAAATAATACACAGAGGGACACCTGAGGTCTTACTCCACCAGTAAAACTTGGAAGTCGCCATATGCTCTCTACTGTTTTGTTTCAAGGTAAAATCCAATCAAAACAATAGGAAACAATCAAATCCCAACCCCACTCAAAAATGTCATGTAGGCAAACATGTTGCATTTGTTCAATTTCAAATTTTGGAAACATGGACATGTGTGGAAACGTTTCAATTTAATGCGATTGTTATTTATTAAGTCTATTTGATTAGATCCTTAAACACAAATCTACTTATTATTATTAACAAACATTAAACAATATACGGCAAATAAGCGATATCCTTGAAGTGTTTGTCTAGGCGAGAAAGTATATGTTCCTCTTTTGATAAATATTTGTCTTTTTAACAAACATTTAAACAAAAACTTCAAGCATTTTTAAATGATGAAATATGGTCTAGTATTTGAGAATAAAACAAATTGATAGCTGATAAAATATTTGATATTGTTTTGCACTTATGCGATCATCATTATCATTTTTATTTAAGAAAAGAACAATAAAAACTCTGTTTTCTGTTTAGAAGATATTTACCTGGATAGAGAAGCTCTCCGTTCACGCTTTGTCAATGTATTAAAGTCAGTTTCTCTTGAAGCTTTTACAGGCTCTGTCGTCACATCTTCATTTAGCTTTTTAGCAGGAATTTTCCTGAAACGTGATCTTATAATCAAGACAATTAAACCAATCACAACAGCAACAATCCCAACTATCCCCCACTTTATCTCCATTAGTTCAAGCTTCTGTTTTAACATCGCTTAAGTTGTAAAATCGACAATTATTAATATTGCTGCCTAAACAAAAGCCTAATGTTTAAATGTATTATTTTACGTGAACTCGGCGCTAAATATACCGCAAAACGACAAGAGATAAAAGACAACTGACTTTAAAGAATAAGTCATAAACGCGTAGGTAAATAATCCATTATTAATGATTTACTGGCGTTTCATGTAATAGTATACGCTAACTTGCCTGAAAATAATTACGGTTATGCTGAGTCAGGCAACCGAATCTTTGGCACTGTGTTTTGTTTGTGTGTGTTTTTACCGAATTTCTAGAATTTAAAGTATATTGCAATGCGGGAAGGGTTATAGGGTTACTGTTAAGCCAAGTTTAAATCAAGAAATGGCTTTCTATAAAAAATATATTAGAAGCTGTATGAAAGCACAGTATGGCCAGTTATAGCGTATTGGGCGGCATCTTTGTGGGATTATCCTACTCATATAAATACAATGAGACTTTTCCTTGGTGTGGGTAAATATACTCCTGATTATGCCATGTATGGTAAGTTTGGTTGGCTGCCTCCTCGTTTGACACAGTAATGTTTATTTTAAAATTATGATAATAGCTTGAAATTGAGTGAAGTCTAAACTTTTTAATAGATATATCGTGATTCAAAAGGAAAAGGTAAATTTGGAAATTGCCAACATGGTTATGAGAATCGCTTAGAAATGTTAAATTTGCAACATCTATTTGGCTGTACAAATGTTGTTGCCTTCCTTGTGTTTTTTATAGTAGATATATGGGATGTTTATAAGCTTGTCAAAAATTGAATACTGAAAGTGGGTGGGATGGTGGGTTATTGAAAATTGTTATGAATTATTTCTTCTTCTAAAATGGCGGACTTAATCAGCATCAATTATCACATTGTACTTACTCATAACGATAACCTTAGTGTACTTACTAGTACGGCTTTTTCGAACCCAATATATGATAATATATAACTCTCACATTAAACCACAATTCATATCAGTCCCAAGTTCACTTTGGGACTAAGATGTAAGGTAAATAATTGTCTTCTTCACTTGAGATCCAGGAAATTTCACTTTTCACTTGTTGGTATGTACTTACCGAAATTCTTTCCAAAACAAAAAAAAATAAGAACGATTTAAATAAAAATCCCATATTTATAATAGTATTTATAATATGGGATTTTTATTTAAATCGTTCTTTTTCGTTTTTGATAGAATTTCAGGATCTACAAAAACCAGTCAATGACGGTATGACGGAATTTAGCGCAGAACTGGCAATGGAACCGACGATGGGAGAAATTCAGTGATGAATTCATTCAATTGGCGTAAAAGTTGGATAGTTGATAAGAGTAATCAGTGTTTCTGATAGATTTTAATGTGCTTTATTGATTAAAAGTGCTCGGAAGTAAATCCAAGGCGTTTTTATAAATATTCCTGGTAAATGTAGCGGTGGGTGGGGAAATGTTGTTGCCTTCCTTGTGTTTTTTATAGTAGATATATGGGATTTTTTTTTAAATCGTTATTTTTTTTTTGTTTTTGATATAATTTCAGGCTCCTGTGTTCCAACCAGTGTATGTGAGATGTTCCTAATATTAGTATAGACATTTTACTAACATAGAATTGAAGAGTTAATCATCCACCGGTGTTTTTATACACATTATGTAGTAATCCAATCGCAAAACGTACTGTAGACACAGATTCCGTGTATAAAAGCAATTTATTGAAAATTGTTATGAATTATTTCTTCTTCTAAAATGGCGGACATAATCAGCATCAATTATCACATTGTACTTACTCATAACGATAACCTTAGTGTACTTACTAGTACGGCTTTTTCGAACCCAATATATTTCGACCTATGACTAAAGACCTAATGAAACCCACCATCAAGCTTGTAAGTGACCATAAAAACATTTATTTTGCAATAAATTAAGTTATATGAGTTTTACATTTCGGAATTCTTTTTTTAAAATTTATTTTTCGTTCCTTTTTTTATATTTATTAACGAATATACCCTGTCTTAACTGATCATTAAATTATTTAAAATCACAAATGTCCTCACTTAGTCACTCACACACATGTCCTCACATTTCTCAAATGTAACTTGATGATTTACAAACTAATTTACGCTTATAAAATATTTTCAATATTGTATTTTGACTCATTCTATATTTTCAGAAATTCACTACTATTAATTGCAGCACAATAAATTATTGTTCATTTAAAGCCATACTTTACCGGTATTATAAAATTACGAAATGGTAAAGACTGGTCGGTGAGCTGGGAAAAAATACATTCATGTAGGTAATGTATTTTTTACAAGCAAAAAGGTAGATCATTCATAAAATATAAATTAGACATTATCGTAGTCGTAATGTCCCTTTGTCTTGTTTTTGTGCCAGCGTTATTACATATTGATAAAATGACACATGCACTGAATTCCATAAAGTCCCACTTATGGTTGCAAATAAGATGATGAATAAATACATTAAATGCATTTTTTAAATTTTTCATAAAGAACATAAATTCTTACCCTCTTTACAAATGTATTTCTGCAAAATACTTTGTAATGTGATTATTAATTGTAGGAACAAGCCGGATTGGAATTAGTCTTTGAATTCGTGTATTTTGTCAAATTCGCCAATCAGTATCAGATACAGTATTAGAAAACATTTTATACAGTCATGCTGTTGATTAAAATCCTTTATAGTTTAAAGAATCATTTTTAGGCCCGAACTCCTAAAACTTCGACTCCTAAAACTTCGATTACATCGATTTCCTATATACATGTATAGGAAAAATCTGGTAACAAAGTGATCCCTCGGAAGCATTAATCACAATAAAATTACAAGAGAATTGCAGACTCGGTTTGATTGAGTCTGTACATGAGAGATAATGAATACGTGCAACAAAAACTCACACTTTCAGAAAAATAATAAATTTTAGAATTTGTTTCATAGACACATTTATGTCAGTTAAACGCTGCCAGCATACTATTAATGTATATAGTCTACATATCCACAATTTACTCTAAACATAAACTTCATCAAGATGTTAGATGCATCACCACTTAGATGCATTTTCACGCCTCACAACTTTTGTTCAATGTGTATAACATTTTGTATACACATTCTATAAATACAACTTGTAAACATCGAATGAACTGAACAATTTAAAATAAACATACGGCTATGACAACCCCGGATCGCTCACCTATAATTCATAACTGGAAAAGACCATAATTTATACTTTTAATGTAAAAGTAAGTAAAGAAGTCATATTTGTCTAAGCTCTTGGCATCACAATTTCACACAAGAAGTCATTCTTAAATATGATTCACTGTATAAACTTAGTGGCTAAGGAGCAGATTGAGCCAAGCGTCTTGCTTTATATAAATTTTGTAGAGGGCCACAAGGTGATGCTACGTGCAAACTATCTAAATTCTGGGCATTTATCTTTCTGACGAACATTTTAAAAACATTCTTACTGTACATGTCTATATAAACTAAATGACCCTAGGTTGTTGCCACTTTTGACCTCCGTGGCATAACTTATATAACTTTAGTAGATGTTCACTAAGCAATGCTACGAGAGGTGCCCAACTTATTTTTGAACAAAAACAAAACTTCAAGCAATTCTTTAGAAATACTCATTTATTGTAGTAAATGTTCAATATGAGACCCATGACAGTTGTAGATCATTCTACAACGCTTTTGCCACGATTTTAAAGTCGAATTTATAGTTTCTTGATCATGTTTGCGCCACTCGTTCTTAAGTGCCCTTTTAAGACCGACAAGCATGTTTATTTGCCGCTTCTGCAGCCGACGTTTTAGAACACCCCAGATCCCAAAGTCCATCGGTGCAGCATCAGGTGATTTTGGCATCCACTCCTCGGTTGTAATAAAGTAAATTTGACGGTTTTTCAGAAATGACAGCGTTCTTTAAGATGTGTGGCTAGATGCACTGTCCTGGTGGAATGTCACTGCTTTTGCCCCCTCAGGAAAAAGTCTTGGAACTTCTTTCTCCAAAAATGGCTTGAGCACTTTGTTGATATAGTACTCAGAGTTCACCTTTGTACCTTTATCGATGATCCGAATCTCCGTTTTCCCTCTAGAAGACACACCAGCCCATGCCATGAAACCGCTAGCAAAAGCATCGCGTTTAACAAACTTCAATTTCTCACCAAGGTTATCCCCTTTTCTAATATAACATACCTTTCTTCGCCCATAACTTCCGCCTAAGTAAAACATAGCTTCATCCGAAGTGACAAAGTTTTTCCATTGGTTGCATTTTAATTTCAGATAAAGCTTCCAAGATCTGGCCCTGTGCTTCTTAATTTGAGCCATGTTTAGTTGATGAACTTTGCACTTCTTTCGTAATTTTGCGTTCAGAATTTTGTTGATAATGTTATAGATAGTTCCCTTTGACACACCCAATCTTGAAGCCATTTCTCTTTGAGTAGGCGGATTCACTTTGGCGATGAAACGGCCAACCTTCCTAATGACGTCAGGTGTAGCCGCCGTGGGCCGTTTTGTAAATGTCCCCCTGTAACATTCGGAGAAGTGACACTGCGTTGTAACCCTATTTGGTAGCGAATATTCCTGATGGAGCCCAAAGAAATGCTATAACCCATAGTTTTAAGCTCCTTATGAATACTTCTGTAGCTGCGGTTTAGTACGTACCATGTTTTCCAATCGAGCTAAGGTACATGTAAATGTATACATAGGTTGTAACAAAACCGATAATACACAACAGCCACTATAAAATCGTGCATGTGTCTTACTAAGCACGGATTTCTTTTGTTCAAAAATAAGTTGGGCACCTCTCGAACAAGCCAATTATCTAAGCTCTAGATATTGTAGTTTAATCTATTTGCCTATATAAATCTATATATGAAATAATTGTCCCACGGAGCGGGGTCAAATTTCTCAATCCATAATATCCAATTTCTTGGAATTGTTCTTTCAGAGAAAAAGATTTAAAGACAATTTACTATACTCACACATCTTAACTAAGTTACACCCAGGGTTAAGCCATTTTTTTTAGCCCAGGACTATTTGCAGAATAGTTCTACAAAAGAAGACATAAATGAAGTTTTTTAAAGCGACCAATTTTGACCAAGGGTAATGATTTAGAAGACCACAAGGTTATGTTCAATGCCTCATATCTTTTTGCAATGTAGATTCTTAAAGAAGAGTTTGAAAGATTTCATTTTTAAAGTGTATTTGTTAGCTCCTGTGACCTAATTATGCATCAGAGTAAAACAATTTACAATATTCGCAGAGGGCCGCCTACAAATCATTATTGTAAAATTGAGTCCAAATCTATCAAATGGTTAGGAAGAAGTTGCTTAAAGAAATCTTTGATGACGATGAACGACGGATACACTGACATCACAAAATTTCGCTTCTGCGTACTTCAGTACAATGAGATATTTTCATAACAGACAGTGGAAGATAAATTTACATTAAATATTGTATGTGTCAGTTACCGTTAGATTGTATTGAATATAAAATAAAAGAATTTCGATTAAAGAAATATTTCACGAGATTCGTGGAGGAGCAATTACACAAGGACAAAAATGAAGCGCATTCCATGTTTATCCATTCCAAACTACAAAAGTTAAATTATTGCACCTGTATTCATTAAAATTGGCTTATTATGTTCAATATTTAAACATTACAAATGCTTGTGATAGTTCACAATACAGTCATATTTGAAAAAATACATAGTGTATATCATGGGACAATTTCATTGCGTTTTCACTCAAATACGTAGCTTATCAATAGTTTTTAATTTAATTATTATTATGTATTAAATGATATCAAGCATTTATCTATGTACAACATTTTAACACTTTAAAACTATATTATCTGCATAATACGGAACACCACTTCTAAATTCATTGTCAAAATCGGTCTATGTCTCTTCAACACGATCTTATGTCATAGCACTTTTTAACGAAAATAAGATAATTACTACATACTAAAATGTTTCATATGATAATATTTTCAGATCAACTACTGAAAAAAATTTTCTTTACTTTTGGAAATATTTTTTCGATTTCTTAAATTTTAGAATTAAGATGTAAACGACACATATCTGCATTTCTACTGCGTATACAATAGACCTTCTTGATTGGCACCTTTTTGTTGTTGTTTTTTATTGAAAAGGTCCAGAATGCCTTTGTATAAATTAGTCAATTGTAGCTCAGTTCCCTCTCAAATCTGGACTAATTCCTAGATTAGAACAATACCACTGATAGTCTGAATGTCTCTCATTTTATGATAAAAACGACTTACAAATGAGAAAAAAAGTCAATTGTATACTTCGTTTCTGCTACATCTGATCGCATCACCGTTGTTATATCTTGAAGAAATTAAAATACTTGGATAACACATCTTGCCGTGGCCCTAATAGTTTGCTTTGCAATGTTCTTGGATACTGTTATTATGCCGCCATAGAAATATTGAATTCGAAGTTATGCTAGCCTAGACATGTAATTCGCAATTTTATTATTTATTATTTGTGAAGCTTGGAACTTCAGACAAAATATACTAACTCCAGTTGTGGTGTATTGTCCATAATGAAGTCTATCACTTAATTTATCAGAGCCATATTTATCTACTTAATCGGTTTCAGTTGTTTTGCAAGAAGGCTAAGACGAAGATTTGCTAAACACCTTTCGTCTTTTGCCATTTCAGCACACATTTTCAAACATTTGCCTTTGTCGATAATCCCAACGTTTAAATGATTTTTCTGGTAAGATTTCAAATACCTCTTTAATTCGCTTTTTGTTGCTTTCAATTCATTTGCTATCAGCTCAAGGGAACTTTCATCGATGCAAAACTTTTTCCGGTATGCATCAAGTAATTGAGAGTCAAAGTTAAATGTCAAAGTCCAACCGTAAAGGAAACCACTGAGACCTTTGAATCTATACTTGCACGATTCTTGGTCTTTCTTTATTTGTCTTTGAACTTGTTCATGTAGTAAAGCTTTGATGACGCTTGCATTGATGCTCAATAAATATTTAAGTTCCTGATCGAAATTACTAAAATCGTACACTTCTCTTTCGGGAGAGCTGACCAAAAACACATTACTAACAAAATCTGGTATTCCCCCAAGGCGAATGTTTTCTGATAAATTATTTCTTATTTTATCCAGGCATTCAGTTTCATTGAATATGTCTGGATACGCCCGTTTAATGTTCGCAATGTCAATGTCAATTTTTGTTCGAACAAAAATAATATTTTTGCGTATGGTACGCAACTCTTTTCCCAACCATATATCATTTTCTTGGAATCGCCCAGCTGTAACAATTATAACCACGTCAAATCTAGGAAAATTCATGTCATTGAAATATTTCTCTTTTGTGAGGCTTTGTGTTTCCATGCCAGGTAGTTCCCAGAGAGCTACCCTTGGATTTTCAGGATAGATGTATTTTATACCTTTTGTTGTTGATTCAAAAACACCAACAGCAGCCGCCCCATCGTCCGAAGGTTTTAACTTTCTAAGAGCATTGATGAGACTGGATTTTCCAACACCAGAATTGCCTGTGACAGCAACATTTAATTCCATGTCAGCCCATTTTTCAAAAGAATTCTTGATGTAATTGTTTAGACCATGCAAGACTCCCGCTTTTTCCATCTCTTTCTTCAGATCGTCTTTGTCAATAAATGACCGGCATTTCTAGAAAAAAGTACATACCTTGTGTCAAAGCGTATTTAAAGTTCTATTTAAATGCAAATGCTTTATAGACTTATTAAAGAAATAATTTATTATTTTTCTGATGATCTTAGGGTATGATATCAGTAACCTTTTTCACCACATTTGGTGTCGAATAGTCTACCAATTGAATTTGGTAATATTTCAGGTCATTTCAAGGGCAGATAATTATAAATTAGTCAGACAAATCTTACTTTAAACATTGGTTTATGTTTTACATTTTTATCCTTTGTGAAAATACAAGATTTTAAAGATTTTTTAAAATATTCTTTAAATATTTTCATCAATTTTTATATCATATATGAATTTAATACTCGTTTACAACAGACCATTTTAATAATTGACATAGGTTAAGGTGAAACAAAAATAACTAACTACAAATAACTCTGTACCAATTCTCTGATATTTCGCAGAAATAAGCAGTCTTCAAGCTCCATATTCTACATCTTAGTATTGCTTTATCTTGTTTCTTGGTAAGTTAAAAGATGGATTAGTTTCAAGCAGTCGATAATATTGTGAAGCTGTAACTTACGTCATATTTAAGAACTGACAATGATTCATTTTCAAAACGGCCTGGAACTTCATACATTTCGTCTTTGCAGTTTTCTATCGTTTCATCTTCAGATTCAGATAAACATTCGCTGGAGATAAGATAACAATAAAATAAATATATGTATAAGGTACTTAGTTTATTGTCACAATCTACAGCCTTTGCGACATATAGCGTCTCCACGATTCACTATTTTCTTTCACCAATAAATGTTAAAATCAAAAACTTTAAGTCAAAGTTCATGAAACTTTTCTTTAGTTTACTTACATTCAAAAAATAATTTGATATGTTTTGTAAAGTGAGTGGCTCGGATGGGACATTTAGTATTCTTTTTTTTTGTCTTTTGACTATTTATCTGTCTGGAATTCAAAGCTAATAACATATTATTTAGAGTTGTGCTTTTTGTTATAAAGGGGACAGTTTCATTACTGCTTTGAACGATACGATTGATCTTTTACGACTTACTTATAAAAAAGAAAGGATTACAATTCACCAAAAGGCACATACCAGTTATCTGTTTTTATATTTAAATTGATACTTTCTTTAAGTATATTACATGAAATAATAACAAATATTCACAAAAGCATACATATGAACAAGAAATTCTTATAACACCATTGAAGAAATCTGTCATTGATAAATCTTGATTTGAGACAAATCGTTATTAAATAAACAAAATTATATACCTTGATAGTGATACATTCATTTCGTGTGCCAACTGCAACGTTTCCCTGAAAGACGTCCCGACTTGTCTCCGTTTCTTGACCGAACTTGCATCTAACGATCTTGACAGTAAAAGTTTAAAAGAAGAAACAATCAGAACGAATTATGGTTTTAACATGATTAAAAAAAATAAAAGAAAAGGAGTCAACTAAATGCTCTAAAAGAATATACATGTAAAGTACAATAAATAAAGGCAAATCGGTATCCATTACTTTTTAACACAATGTGGGTTGTAGTTTACAGCATTACATAAATAATATAGGAAATCGCTGAGAGTATCAATAGTTTATAATCATATAAGTTAATTAAACGAAACGACTACCCTTCAATAACTATTGCTTAATAACACAATTAAAATGGTATCTAAAGTAAGATTTTAAATTGCAGTTAGGCATTTTGTTTCCGTTTATCGTTGATAATTACACACATTATTTTCACACAACGTTAAACCACATTTTAGCACTCTTTACAGAAATAATTTTGACGGGTTACATGTGACACAATCATTAATATTATTTAAAAACCTTAAATTTGTTACATATACCCTATTGATTTCCGCTTTAAAATTGGCAGTGACTTGTGTCAGTCGTACAGTTTGTACTGTAGATATATTTTTTAACTGAGTTAATGTCTTCCTACAGCAATACACCGAAGTGTATCATGTTTCAATTATAACCTGTGGCTGAGGTTTAAATTTCTATATGTAAATGTCAAATAGAAAATATGCGAGTTTAGGGAGAGATTTTACATCACTTTAGTAGAGATACACTGATAGTGTGTAGCGTTTATTTTTTTGTTGAGAAGAGAATGTGTTGTTTTGAAGGGAGTTCTGTTGATTTGTTGAAGTTGGTTGAATATAATTGTGGTGATCTTAATTGATTGGGGTTTATCGGTTGTAATTAGTTGTTTCGGTTATTAAGTTATATCTGTTTGGTAAGATATACTTCGTTGATATTGGTTGAATGTTTGGAGTCAAGATTATATTAGTTGATGCTTTGTATTGAGGATATATGTAATTATTATATAATCTATAAATAGCTTTGAAATGCCTTTCCCTGATTGGCTAACAAGCAACTTTTTGTAATATTCACTGTTTTTTTTCCTAAAAATAGATTTTCAGAGTATATTCACCGGTTATTCTTCTAAAATTAGATTTTCTGGAAATCCCTAAAAGACGCGAGACTTTGACGTGACGTCACGCCAAGTTTGTTGTTATTATTCTGAAGAAACGTTGAGTTTGGCGTACACAAGAGTCAAATTAGTCTGTTTTAGTTACCGTTTTTCATTTTTAAGAAAAATAGGGATTAGCATGCCAGTGGAAAGGGCCAAATTATGGAAACAGTAGACAAGCTGAAAAATAATGATTTCCGTCGTATGCAATGGCAGATGTGATAAGCCATATAAAAGCTATTTATAGATTATATAATAAAACAGATATGTACTTTTTAGCTGTTGAATATGATGTGATATGTACTGAAAAATTAATATTGACCTCGGCTATCGCCTCGGTCAATATTAATTTTTTCAGTACATATCACATCATATTCAACAGCTAAAAAGTCCATATTTGTATAATATTAGGTGCTTTAGTTTGCTTTTTAGATGCTGATTAGATTTTGTGATGTTTATATTGTTGGCTGAATGTTTGTGGTTTATACTGTATCTTAGAGTTGTAAAAATATTGATTTTTGTGTTATTCATTTTGTGGTGATTTTATTGTTTTGTTTGATCATAAGTTGTTAAGAGCTTTGAGTCGCCAGGTGTCTAGTATTGTTTCGTATAAAAGACGTATACGTGAAATAAGTGGTTGATAAATGATGCGTGTTTGTTTTGGGTGTAAATAATGATCAGAGTTCTTTGTTTTGGGTGTAAATAATAATCAGAGTTTGTTGTTTAAATGTGTATGTATTTGAGATAAGAACAAGATAAAAATACTTAAAAAATAGTGTTAACTAAAGAATTAAACGCTAATTTTCCAACTGAAAATATTTCAATTTTAAGTCAGGCGGTGATGCCCAGCCCCCATATCTTGAAAATTGGTTCTTGTATTTATTACTAAATCTTTCCTGAGATTAAATAACATCAAGGCAGTCATTCTTATTTTACCACAAAACATTTTACTTTATTTTACCACAAAACTCAATACACATTTTCTGAAAACTTTAAAAACAAAATAGCTTTTAAAATATGTAGAAGAATGTGTTAATTTGATATAAAAGAAAGTGTGAAAGAACTCCTTAAATTATAGCAGCATGTCTTCGTCAACGTCATGATATTTCAGTCAATGAACCCAAATGACCAGAAAATTTGAAAACATAGATATGAAGATAAAGGCAAAATTTACAGCTACAACATTTTCATATTTACATCCAAACATTATTCTTATCAACGCAAATTAATTAATAAACGAGCAATGGAAAAAGTAGACACTAAAATGTTGAAGCTATGTCGTTTTCGTTATTTCAAATACAACAGTTTTACAAGAAGCTACACACATGTGGGGCCTTGCCGATTGCGTAATCATAAGTTTGGGGCTGTAATGAAGCAATAGTTTTTATCATGTTCACACCAAACGTATGCATCACATTCACCAATTTATGTATCTTCTTCTGACTAAAGGCAAATAATGATCAGAGATATATATGTATATCTATGATATGTATATCTATGATATATAGACATTCTCTACTTTCGGTTTGACATGTACTGTTTCGTGACTCTTATTTTTTAAAACAATAGTACTCGTAGAGGTTAGCAATAACGCAATAAAGCTTAAAACATTAATATACCCCATCCACATACACACTTATACTGTATACTTTCGATCATGAATGCAAATATTAATCAGTGAAATTTTAAACCAGCAGTACATTTTTAAATATCAAGGGTAATGTTTTTTTGTCTTTTTTGTTTGGGTTAAATACGTCACACCGACACAGTATAGGTCATTTGGCGAGCGACGTTCCAGCTTTACTGGTGGATGAAGACCTCAGGTGCCCTTCAGTGCATTATTTCAGTCACGAACGGGCACCAAAGTAGAACCACCGACGTTCCATAAGCTAGCTGGATAGCTTCCTCACATGAATGAATCCAAAGTCCCTGTCGGGATTCGAACCCACAGCGGTGAGGGGCAAGTGGTTTGAAGGGTAATGTAGGCATTACTATCACATGAAGCAAATAAAACCATTAAATTTAATTTAGCAATTTCAAAAATATAAGCCAGATATTGTATGGCCTTTGACTTCCAAGTGACCTTAAATGTGAGAATTTGGGTCTTGCACACAACCATACTTTACCCTTTTTTCGATTTCAAGGTATCCACGAACTGAAACATATTACTCTAGTGTTGAACAATATGTAAAGAAAATCAACTTAAGTTTTACTTAAATTTTAACTATATCTGTTAAGAAATCGTTTTCCGTTATATTAAAAATAAACATTGGATATAAACTCACTTTTCATGCGTTGTTAATGTTGAACCTTCATCTGTTTCTCTTGATTGTTTCACATTCTTTTTCTTAACCTTTTCATTTTTTTTATTGGATGGAATTTGATCTAAAACCGAATCGATATACCGAAAAACGGCAGCAATTATTACAATTATAAGAAGGAACACAAAAACGTAAATCCACCATATATCCTCCATTACTTCCTTCTTGTCGCCCAAAAGATAATGACGATCGGCCTCGGTATACGAAAAGCTATGTATAAAATTATAATGACAGTATCACGTGCATGATAACCCGCGGTTACAATGTTTACACGGTGAATGATAACGAGAAAGCGTATTGGGCATTATAAAAAGACTTGAATTAATGATTTCAAATCTTATATAGAAATACAGTCAACATTGTGTAACGAAATTCTATAAAGTGTTGTAAAATGAACCTTTTGTACCTTTTGAATGAAAACTATTCACTTTTGAGATATGTGCATGATGTAAATTGTAAATCATATATTTCATGCTACTGGCTTTATGTAACAACAGTGTTTGTTAAACTTTAAATTCTGTAAACGTGCTTTGTATATTGTGTCTAATATTATTACTGCAATTGTTTATGTTAAGTTATCAATATTTGGTTTTATTTTGTTTAAATCTGGACAGACGTATTAGGGGGGTAAAATAATTAGCCAACTATTAAGCATGATCGACAAGAAATATTTGGCCAATGTAACTCAAAATCAATTGGATCAGGATCAGTCCCCACACTAAAATAAAGAAATAAGTGGTCGGACAAGCTTACAGATCCTGTTTGTTGCATTTTGGTTGTTACAACACTTACGTGAAATTTTATATATGTATATAATGATGCTTCTAAAATAATTTTCAAACATCGAAGAAAATAAATATGTACTGCAAATATTTGTCCACATTAAAATATGTAATCATAAAAATATATGCATTCATTTCTTATTGGCAAATAATAGAAAATAAATTTCTAATAACCCCCCTTTATTGACACAAAAATGTAAATATCTTTACAAATAATGCTTTTTGGAACTTACAATATTGATAAATCTTCATTAGCGCATTATATTTATGATACAAAACCATAATACAATCGAGTAATAGGATTTTTAAGAGGTCAAGGCAAAAATGAAATTAACCATTAACCCAATGACCTTAAAATCAATAGATGGTAATGTATGTTTTCTGGGGCCTCCGTGGCCGAGTGGTTAAGGTGGCTGACTTTAGATCACAGGTTCTTCACCGCTGTAGGTTCGATCCTCACTTTGGTCGAAATCTTTCATGTGAGGAAGCCATCCAGCTGGCTTATGGGAGGTCGGTGGTTCTACCCAGGTGCCCGCTCGTGCCTGAAATAATGCCCGGAGGGGCACCTGGGGTCTTCCTCCACCAATAAAGCTGGAAAAAAAATCGACGAAAAAATCTCGGCGTGACGCTCTAGGATGGCCCGACTTGAGTGTACGGTCGCCCACATGAACTTTCCGGCGGCGACCTTAAATAAACGCATTAAAAAAATTATGTTTTCTGAACAATGTCGCTATTAAGTCACCTTAATCACTAACCGTTTCAGAGTATAGTCCATTTTTTTAAGTTGGG